GCTTTTTATTAAATCTTTCATTGGATTTTTTTGGGGAGGGAGGAAGGCAGGTAGGGCTCAGACGGGTGGGCAGGACGGTCACCTCGTCTCCCGCCTAGACTCCCTGTGCCTCTGGTGACCAGTCTGCACAGCTTCATGAAGCCTCTTCCAGACCAGCGTGACCCCGAGGAATGAACCCCTCTGACTTGGACCCCCGGGGACAGGAGACCCACAGAGCCCCACCTAATGTTCCTGGTTCCCTGCAGCCCAGCCCCTGACGGTGTCCGCCTGCAGGGATGTCCGCGGCAGTGCAGGCTCTGGGCAAGCCCCGGTCCTCAGGCCCTGGCATGGCGGGGCAGGGGCCCTGCTGCTCGGCGGCGGCCCTGCAGAGGCGACTGCCTATCCTGGGCTGGCTCCCCGACTACTCCATGCAGTGGCTGAAGATGGACTTCATCGCGGGACTCTCAGTCGGCCTCACGGTCATTCCCCAGGCACTGGCCTACGCAGAGGTGGCCGGCCTCCCGCCCCAGGTGAGGCTCTGTGCCGCAGCTCCGGACAGGAGGCGCGCCCTGCGCTTCCAGCCCCGCCCCCTGCTTTTTAGGGTTTCTCCCTTTGGGCAGAGCCACACCCCGTCCCTGCCCCGCTGCCCACACCCAGGCCCCGAGCTGTTCTGAGTGTCCAGGTGGGGCCAGTGCAACCCAGTGGCCATCAGAACACAAGCACACAGGCCCTCACGCTCCCGGCAGGCGGCACCGACCCCACCCCACTCAGTGGTCACCGCTCTGGGTGTCCCACAGGTCGGGGGGCCCCTTGTGGATGATGGAAGGTAGCGGGAGTATGTGCTTACCACACACAAGTGCCTGGGCCCCAGCACGGCCATCAGGGACACACCAGGAGGGGACACCCTCTCATGCCCTGGCCCGGCTGGCTCACCGCTCTCTCTCCCCTCCACAGTACGGTCTCTACTCGGCCTTCATGGGCTGCTTCGTGTATTTCTTCCTGGGCACCTCCCGGGATGTGACTCTGGGCCCCACGGCCATCATGTCCCTCCTGGTCTCCTTCTACACCTTCCACGAGCCCGCCTACGCCATACTGCTGGCCTTTCTGTCGGGCTGCATCCAGCTAGCCATGGGCTTCCTGTGCCTTGGTAAGACACGCCTTCCTGCTGAGGCCGGGGTGCCTGGTACTGGGTGCCTGCCTCCGGGGGATGCCCTGGGCCTCAGTCCTTCTGCCTTGTACACTTTGCATGTCAGCGGATGTCAGGGAATGCCCTCAGGCCCCACCCTGCCCCGGAGCAAGCTCTGGTCTCTGCTCAGAGGTGAACCCGGGCCTCAGGCCCCAGCCTCCTGCTCCCACTCTTCCGAACAGTCCAAGCCAGGCATGTTGCTCTCCAGTTCCTAGCTGCAGCCTGTGTCCCCCTAATCCTGCCATGCCACCTTACCCAGCCCCATGTCTGCCCTGTGTCCTGGGGCCCGGGCGGAGCTGGGGACCAGCCTGGAATTCCTTCCTGGCTGGCTAGGGTTCCTGCTGGATTTCATTTCCTGCCCCGTCATCAAAGGCTTCACTTCTGCTGCCACCGTCACCATTGGCTTCGGACAGATCAAGGTAGGCACACTCCCCGCCAGGGCACAGGGGTCCCTGCTGGGTAGCAAGACTAAGGCCAGGACCTGGTGCTCGTGGGCCAGTAGAGGTCTGGCCAGTGGAGATAACGCCCCTCCTCCAGGAGCTCGACGTGCACCGCCCTTCCGGTGATGATTAACAATTAACCAAAGCAATGAACTAAACAATTTCTAACCCTAAAATGACCCTTCTCAGGGAGACGTTGGGCGGCCTTCAAAGATTGGAAGGCGGGTACTTTGGGCAGCTGCTAATTGCCTCCCCAGCCCTTGTCTGGCTTTCTCCCCAGCCACCCACTCTGCCAGGAAGCCTTTACGGACACGAGCCAGTGTCTGCACCAGCAACTTGCTGCCCTGCTCGTGGAGTACATGATTCTGTTTTTACTCTGGTTTCCAATTTGTTTCTCTAAAGCTACAATTTTTACATTTCTGTCTCAAACATCTATAAGAAGTACTCAAACCAGCCATGGCCACCTTTCTCCTCTAACTGGACTTTAAGTCCCCGGACGGCAGGGGCCATTGCTGCTGCCCACGGCCACCCAGTGCTGTGCCTGGCAGACTGGGAGGGCTCAGTTCAGTGTGCAGGGATGAGGCTGAGCGGAATCCTGCAGGTGCAGCTCAGGGGCCACACCCCTGCCTCCAGACCTGGTGTCTCCCGGGGCCCGCCCTGAGCTGTGGTTCCCAGGCTGCCCTAGACCATCTTCCCCACGGAGGTAAAGTGAGGAGCAGGGGGCAGATCTTTGTGCGTAAAGCAGCAGGCATTTTTGTGCACTGGCGCTGCTGGGTACCGGGTCCTTCCCAGCGCTCCATCTCACGCTCTGGGAGGCAGGTCTGTAAAACCCACACCTGACGGGCGAGAGACCATTCGGAAGGTGTCTCACAGATGGGCGCACTGTGAGGGTGAGCCTGGCACGTGCCGTCTCCTAGGATGGTCCGGCTTTTAGCGCCAAGAAGTTTTCCCCAACCAGTGGGTGGGACCCCGGAGAAACTTGGCGGCGGGGAGGCTCCCCATCCTTTCAGACACGGGACCACGTAGGCAAGTGCAGCCCCAGCACTGGGGGGGCCCTTCCCAGCAGGCCCATCCAGAAGGGCGACCCCTGTGGCCGGAGTCGTGTGTCCGGCCTGCACCGCCGAGCTGGGAGCGCAGCGCCCAGGGGCCTCGGAGCCTGATCGCCGTCCTTAGTCTGGACCTCATGAGCCCTAGCAGGGCTCCGCGAGATGGAGAGTAGAGAACCCCCCTTCCCTTCCGAAGACCCCAGAGGCCTGGGGGTTGGGGGCACCCCAGCCGCCCCTCGGCAGCTCCCTGCAGCACTGGTCGCCGGAAGCCCGCCCATCGCTCGGAGTGATTTTTCCTTCCGGCAGGGGGCGGTGACAGCCAGGTGGACCGCCGGGTAACGGGCGTGGCCGCGAGCCAATGGCGGCGGGGCCTGTGCTTCGGGGGCGGGCCCGACCGGTAGTGATGGGCGCGGCTTCGAGCAAATGGTGGCTGGGCCTGGGGGGGGCGGGAGTGGGCAGGGCCGCCGAATGACGGACGTGGTAGCGGGCCAATGGCGGCGGGGCCTGCGCAGTGAGGGCGGGGAGGTGAGCCCGACCAGGCTGCGCTCGAGCTGGGTTCCGTGAGTTGGTGTCTCCCAGACCAGTATTTCTTAAGATGAATATGAATTAGCAAAGACGTGCCGTTGACCGGGGACGTTGTGAGATGCTGCATCCCAGGATGAGAGGCTTTGGGGATGGAGGGAGATGGCCGTCCAAGACCAGGGGCTGAGACCCCGGGAAGATTCCGGCCCGGGGGTGGGTGCAGGCCCGCCCCTCCCGAGTGCGGCTGTTGCTGGGCCGTGGAGGGGGCGTTCCCCGACGGCCCTTGCGCCCCAGGCCTTCTCCCCGGGGTTGTCTAACGGGGTCTCTGTTTGCGCAGAATCTGCTGGGACTGCAAGACATCCCCAGGCAGTTTTTCCTGCAGGTGTACTACACCTTCCTCAACCTCGCAGAGACCAGGTACCACGCTTTGTGCCTCTTCCTCCGCTTAAGGGGCCACTCTTCCTGCGGACCCCTCTCCCACCCCACCCCAGGTGGCATTTCCCCCCAGAACAGTGCCCTGGGAGTCCATGAGAAACGCAGAGTCTCAGGCCGGCCCCAGACCTGCCAAGAACCGGCGTGGACTAGCTGCCCAGGTGGACCACGTGCTAGTGCTCTGGGTGATGGGAGAGCCAGGCAGCAGGTCACGCTCAGAAGGTTCAGGATCTAGGGAGAAGAACACGGTGCCTTTCTGCCTCCCACCTGCCCTGTGCCTCCCGCAACCACAGACCTGTTCACTGTCTCCTCAGTACGTGCGGCTTTTCAGACTGTCGCCTTCGCTTAGCAACGTGCACTTGAGTTTCACACCTACCTTTGTGGCTGGACAGCTCACTCCTTTTTATTACAGAGTAATACTCCACTAGGGAGCTCTGCTAGCGTGGTGCCCAAGGCATTGGACTGCGAACCAGAAGGCTGGTGGTTCAAACCCACCAGCCACTCCTTGGAGGGAAGGTTGGGCAACCTACTTTCATAGTGATACTCTCTAGGAAACCCAAGGAGGGGTCGCTATGAATAGGATCCAACTCGAGGGCAATGATTTTGGTTTTGGTTTAATACTCCACTAAGGAGCTCAGGTAGCACAGTGCTAACCCAGAGCTTGGCAGTTTGAACCCACCGTCTACTCCACACGAGAAAGATGAAGCAGTCGCTTCCATGAAGATTGACAGCCTTGGAGACCCTGTGGGCAGTTCCACTCTGTCCTCTAGGGGCGCTGTGGCTTGGCATCCACTCCACAATAGTGGGTAAAACACCATTGTGTGTGTGAGTCAATTTGTCCATCCGCCCTTGAAAGACACCTTGGCTGTTTTTAGTTTTGAGGAATTAAACTGAGGGCCGGCAGATAGAGTGCGAAGGAGAGCCAGGCTGTGTTGGCACCTGCAGCCTCTAACGGAGGGGTCCCTCACCGAGGGCAGGACCAACAGGACACCAGGGCACTCGGAGACAGCTCAGTGAGAACCAGGGCCTCTGGCCGGAGGGGCGAGAGGAGGAGATGCGTGTGTAGGAGCTGCAAGGGGCCCTGGTGGGGGCCGAGCCGAGGCCGGGCCGGGGAGGCTGTGACTGCCTCCTCTCCTACCCGGGTCTTGTTCAGGGCCTTCCCATGAGTGCGCCTGGAAGCCAGGCGATCCCCGTCGGATGCCCAAGGCGGAGGTCCGCCCCCTGGAGTGAAGAGCAGCAGGTCACAGATAATCAAGGACTGCCACAGATGAAGGGCCTTCAGTGCCGGGAGGTAGCTGTGGGCAGCAGGACTGAACTACTAACACTGTTGCCATTGCAACCTGCCTCACTTCCGCTTCCAGGCCTGTGCCTGTCTGCTCGTTCAGTGTTTGGAATAAGGTTTTGAGAAATGCAAGAGGGAAAGAGGCCTGAGAAGGAAAGTCTGTCAGCTGCGGCGGGGCTGGCGGTGCCGCTGGCTGCGTGGGCGGTGACGCACGTCTGTCTGCAGGGTGGGGGACGCCGTGCTGGGGCTCGTCTGCATGGTCCTGCTCCTGGTGCTGAAGCTGATGCGGGACCACGTGCCTCCCGTCCACCCTGAGATGCCGCCCGGCGTGCGGTTCAGCCACGGGCTCGTCTGGACGGCCACAACAGGTGAGGGGCCTTCGGGCTGCGGACGGTTCTGCGGTGTCCTGGCCATCATGGTCCCTGGGAGTCCTGCGTCCCCCCACCCCAGGAGAATCTTGTGGGATTGGTGCGGGTGCAGCGTGGCTACTGAGATGGGTAAGGAGGACTCCCAGGACGATGGTGGGGTTCAGCGGTCGAGTTCTCGTCGTCCTCACGAGAGACTCAGGTCCAGCTCCCGGCCAATGCAACTCAGCACACCACCATCCATCTGCCGTCGGAAGCCACTTGTTGCCAGGACGCCGAACGGTGTCAGCAGAGCTTCCAGACTAAGGAAGCTTCCAGCAGGAAGGACAGCTGATTGACTTCTGATTGTCGGCCCGTGGAAACCCTGCGGGTCACAGCAGTCTGGCCATTAAGTGGCCGTGGGGCCGGCACAGGGCCGGGCAGCGTTTCGTTCCGTTGGGCATGAGGGCATCACCGTGGGGGGACTCATCAGCTAACAGCAACTGCTGTGGTTAGGCCCCGTTGAGTCAGCTGTGACTCACAGCGAGCCTGCGCACCGCAGAGCGGGACGTTGCCCGCTCCTGCGCCGGCCTCACAGTCCTTGTTACGCTTGAGCCCGTCACTGCAGCCACTGTCAGTCCATCTCATTGAGGGCCTTCCCCTTTTTAGCTGACCCTGTACGTTACCAGCAACAAGAGCTGGTTCTGACACGCAGCCGAGCTTGCCAACCCCGGTCAGAACCGGTGGTTCAGCCAGCTGCGACTCTGCCCTCACCTTGGGCAACGTCTGGACAGGTTTGTGGTTGTCACACTGGGGAGGGTGTTAGGGCGTCTGGTGAGCAGAGGTCAGGGATGGCGTACAGGACGGCCCCAACCACAAGCAATGAGCCGATCCAGAGCCTCAGTCGTGCTGAGGTGGGCAACCACTGGTCTCCGGGCAGCTCTCGGGGGAGAAATCGGGCCTCCGCCACCTGTTTTTGTTTCTGTTGTCCGCCTGCTAGGGGATAAGAATTTTGCTTCAGGTGAGTCACAGGTAATGACAAACTCCACAAAGCAGATTGTAAAGGCGACAGGGTGAGGGAACATGCGGCCACTGGCTCACTCAGGAGGCCCCTCGGGGAGCTGGGACCTGTGCCCCAGGGCTGCCTGGGCTCTTTGTGCCCAGGTGGACACAGCAGCCCCCGCTGCCTTGGGGCCACACAGCAATTGTGGGTATTGTGGCTGAGTGAGGACAAGTGAACAAGATGAGTTTACAGGGAAGTAAGCGAACCCGGGGGCCACACAGCATTCGTGGGTATTGTGGCTGAGTGAGGACAAGTGAACAAGATGGGTTTACAGGGAAGTAAGCGAACCCGAGGTGTCTCCTGGGCCCTCCCTCCGAGCTGAGGGAGACAGAGAAATAACTGAGAACCTGCTTCCTGCCTCCTCCCGCTTCTCCAGGCCCCCTGCATTCCTTGACCCATGGTCCCTTCCTCCCTCTTCGAAACCAGCAACGGCAGGTCGAGGCTTTGTCACGATGCCAACTCTGATTCCAACTCTTCATCTCCCTCTTGCACATTTAGTGGCCTTGTGATGATGTTAGCGCCCCCCCCCCAAGATAACCCATATAGTGAACAAACCCAGGTACCGTACTGATCTGTCCTGGAAGAAGTACAGCCAGAACACACCTTAGAAGCAAAAACGGCCAGACGTCATCTCACCTGTTTAGATCATATTGTCAGCAGGGACCAGTCCCTGGAGAAGGACGTCATGAATGGTAAAGTGGAGGGTCAGGGAAAAACAGGAAGGCCCTCAAAGGGATGGACGACACAGCAGCTGCAATGTTGCACTCAAGCATGGCAACGGTTGTGAGGCCGACGCAGGACCGGGCGGTGTTTGGTTCTGTGGTGCATTGTACGTGGGGCCGCTGTGAATTGGAGTTGACTCAGTGACACCTCACAGCACCACCACATAACCTAGGAGCTCTCTCCACCTCACAGTCGGTGGGTGAGCAGCCTTTATCCCCCTTGACAGGGGACCTCACCTATTCACCTTCAGGGTGAGACAGGTGTCTTTGGGAGGTCAATCCACCTCACACGCCTTGCTAATCACGGCTGGCAGCCTGGGCACCACCTGCTGGGTCAGAGTCTTATTTTAACGCAATGCCCAGGTGATGCCCAGGCACGCTAACATTTGCGAAATGGGGCTCTGGACCCTGTCTCCTCCTTTCTCCCCAAGCTGTAGCATTGCCTGAAGAAGCTCGTTGCCACACTCACTCAGTCCTAAGTTGTTTCTTTAAAAGCTAGACTTTTAGCTTCCATTTAGCTGAGTTAGGACAAGCAAACACCTTTTACGTGCGTTACTTCACATGACTCATGGCGACCTTGAAGATGGGATATTATTTTCCCCATTATGAAGAAGAGGGAATGAGGCCCAGAAAGGTAACAAGGGCACGTGGCTGTCAAGGGCAGAGAAGGACCTGCACTCGACCCATGTCCCTTTCTGTCCTGACCAGACCAGCTAGAAATGTGTCGTTTTACCAGTTGCTTCACCAAACCAACTCAGTTCCATTGATTTCCTGGACTGTTTTATTCTCTAGTTTGTTGATTTCCATTCTCATCTGTTCTTTTCTTCTGGGCATTTTGGATTTAATTTGCTTTTTTTTTTTTTTTTTCCTTTCATTCTTAAGGTGGAAGCTGAAGTCTTTGATTTGAAATTCTTTTTTCCTGAGGTGTTTCCTGAGTGCTATGCATGTCCCTCTCCACACTGCTTTAGCTGCAGCCTGCCAATTTCAATACACTGTTTCATTTCCATTCAGTTCAAAACACCTTTCAATTTCTATCTTGATTCCTCCTTTGACCCCGTTACATAGTGTCCGGTATTTGGGGATCTTCCAGTTGGCGTTTTGTGACGATGGTGGTGGTAGTGGTAGGTGCCACTGGATGCAGTCGGCTCGGACTCAGAGTGGCCCCATGTGCATGGTCCTTGCCCTGCTTGAGCCCGTTGTTGCAGCCACTGTGTCAGTCTCTCTCTTTGAGGGTCTTCCCATTTTTTGCAGACCCTCAACTTCCAATCTTGTTACTGATTTCTAATTTAATTTTGCTGTTGTCAGGGAATATACTCTGTATGATTTTAATCATTTTACACCTACTGAGACTTGTTTTATGGCACAAAGTATGGTTTATCTTGGTGAATGTTGGTGTGCACTTGAGAAGAACACATCTCTGCTGTTGTTGGTAACATCTTTGCTCTGAAATCTCCTTTGTTGCTGACTTAGCGACTCTGGCTTTGACTGCTGTTAGCATAGGGCGGCCTTTCCTGTTCTTTTGCTTTTAGTCTAGTTAGCTTGTTTGTGTCTCTTTATGGACAGCCCTGGTGGTACAGTGGTTAAGTGCTTGATTGCTAACCAGAAGGTCCAGGGTTCAAACCCACCAGCCGTTCTGTGGCACTCTGCTTCCATTCTAAGATTACAGCCTTGGAAACCCTATGGGGCAGTTCTGCTCTGTCCTGTGACTTAAATCAACTGAACAACAGTGGTTTTGTTGTTTTGTGTTTAACAATCTCTGCCTCTCATTGCCTGTTGACAGGATGGCATACTGTGTCACTATCGACATGTCTGGCTTTGGATCTACCGCATTGCTCTTTGTTTCTGGTTGTCTCGTGTTCTTTGTTCCCCTTTTCCTCTTTTTCTACCTTCTGCATTATTTTTTATGATTCTGTTTTGATTCCTTGGCTGACTGACTTGTTGCATGTGTGGTTTTATTTTGTTAGCTTAGTTTGTTGGGGTTTTGGTAGTTGCTGTAGGGTTTGTAGGATGGTCTTTCACGTGTTCTGTGTTCGCCTGATACCGTATGACTTCCTGTGTAACATAAGAACCTTGTGATCATGTATGTTTGTGTTTCCCTTCCTGGTCTTTGTGCTGTTGTCATCACACTTTGCTTCAACTTCTCTTATAAACCTGCAGTCTGCCATCATCTTTGCTTTAAAGAGGCAGTTACTTCCCAGGAGATTTAAGTGATGAAAAAGTGATAATTACTCACGTAGCCTCTGTTTGAGGTGCTTCCTGCGCCCCCTGGCATCACATTCCTTCTGTCTAAAGGAGTTCTTTTATCACTTCTCATAGTGCAGACCTGCTGGCGTTAGGCCCATTCAGCTTCCCTGTGTCTGAAAGTCCTTAATTCTGGAGGATATCCTGGGTGATGGTTTCTCTTCTTTCAGTGTTTTAAAGATAATATTCTCATTTCTGCACATAACGCGCCCTCATGAACTATGCACGTTCACGCATAACACACATGGCGTGTGCAGGGAACTAATGCACAAGGAGGTTGTGTGGTTTGCGAAAAACACGTAGCGCACATTATTTGTGTAACAATACGGGCTCTCCTGTCTGGAAGTCTGCCGCCCCTCTCCTGTGTTCCTTGGTGCGGCCCTTTTTGCTGGCGGCCGTGAGGTGCCCGCCCTGTCACCTGCCTCAGTTTCGTGTAGCGTTCTCCGTGTTGCTTGTGCCTGAGGTTTGGCGAGCTGCTTGGATTTACTGTTTTCATCAAACTTGGAAAATCTTTGGCTGTTACTTCTTCAGTTGCCCCGTCCTTGGCAGACTCCAGTACAGCATATCAGGCCGTGTGAAGTTGTCCTCAGCCGACTGATGCTTGCACAGTTTGTTTCAGTATTTTTTGTGATACATTTTGGATGATTTCTGTTGCTACATCTTCAAGGTCACTGGTTTTTTTACTGCAGCACCTGATCTGTTGTTAATCCCATCCATTGTGTCTTATATGTTCCACGTCTCCATTTAACACACGTGGTCTTTGCTCCAGCTTCGTGAATGCGGAAAGCAGCTATAATCTGCGTTAACGTCCTGCCTGCTGTTCTGTCACGTCTGTGTGTCGTTTTCACGTCTGTGTATCGTTTTCACATCTGTGTGTCGTTTTCACATATGCGTTGATGCATTAATGTTTCTCCCTGGTGTGGGACGTGTTCCCAGCTTCTCTGCCTGCCTGACAGTTTTGGTTGGATGCTGGACGTTGCCTGTGCGGTGAGCTTACTGGTCCCTGTGTTCACTGCCATGCTGTGTACCTCTCTGCACAGCGTGTATAGCCATGTGTTCATGCCTGCACATGTCCACGGCATCCATGCTGCATTTATGGGTAGCGTGTCCGTGGTTGTAGCTGGTGGGTGTTCCTCTCCCGTGGTGGCTTTCCCCACAGTCCCCCAGATGGAGGTAAGCATCTGGCCTTAAATGTCCCTTGCTTTGCCAGGAGCGAGTTGTCACTCATGTGTTCCTCCTTCTGTCCTAGCTCGAAATGCCTTGGTGGTCTCCTTTGCTGCCCTGGTTGCATACTCCTTTGAGGTGACTGGATACCAGCCCTTTGTTCTTACTGGGGAGACAGCTGAGGGGCTCCCTCCCGTTCGGACCCCTCCTTTCTCAGTGACCACTGCCAACGGGACAGTCTCCTTCTCTGAGATGGTCAAGGTAGGCTGAGGCAGGATGCTGCATGTCCCTGATGCATCTGCTCGGTGAGGGGCAGTCTGAGTCTCAGTAGGACTGCTGAGCCCTCAGTGAGGGCTGTGTCGGGGTTCAGGGACAGCTGACCAAGAGCCCAGCTGGAGCAGAACTTCTGGGGACACCCCCTTTGTCCTCCTAACGTAGGAACCCAGAGCAGTTGCCGTCCGGTCACTTCCGACTCAACGACGTGTCCCGGGGTGGAGCCGTGCTCCACGGGGTTTTCAGTCACTCAGTGTCTGGAAGTAGGGCTGCTGACCTCTCTTCCGAGATGCCTGTGGGTGTCCTCGAACCTCCGGGCTTTCTGTTAGCAGTGGGCGTTGACCGTCGGCACCGCAGGGCCGGCCTTCAGGGACCTTGGGGTGCTCGTCTCCTTGGGGCCTGAGCACAGAGTGGATTTGTCCCGTTCTCCTGTAACCTTTCACATAAGGAGCTGTTTGCTTGCATAGGTTCGTTCATGCTCCTTCAGCCGAAGTGCACCTGCTTCAGTTAGGAGACGCCAAGAGAGCTGGTCCCTGCCTTCGTGTGGGTGTGGGGGCAGGTGGGGGTGAGGGTCGGGGGCAGGGAGGGAGGCACCACTGCCTGGCCAGACCCATCGCCTCCTTACCTGAGGCAGCAAGGTGCGGCCTCCCAGGGCTTCTCACGTCTCCTTTTCCCTCTCAGGACATGGGGGCTGGGCTGGCTGTGGTGCCCCTCATGGGCCTGCTGGAGAGCATCGCGGTGGCCAAAGCCTTTGGTAAGACGTGTGTCACTGGTAAGACGTGTGTCACGCAGTCCCACCGTGTGTCTTGTTCCGGGAGCTACCTGCCTTCCCTGTTGCCTGCTTTCTTACTTGTGTTTATCTGCTTGAGTTTTAAGAGTTTGAGTGTTTACCCAAGTAGTGCATGCCTCTGTTCTTTCTTTAAAATCCACTGGGACTACAGATTTATGCTGAACAGCCACCTCTGCTGTGAGCTGGTACCTGCCCACCAGCTGGCACCCAGTGAGAGTAAAGGGCCTGTTCTGTAGCCTTTGCCAGTCCCTGTGGTGTAAGCACCCCAGCGGGCTGACTTCAGGCCGACGTGACTCTCACAACGTGGAGTGTGAACACAGTGAGACAAGAGACCCAGTAGCCGCCATTGTCTGGGGTCCTACAGGTGCATGCAGATGAGTGACGTCAAGAGCCTTGGGAATAGTGAGCTCCAGTGAGATAAATGGGGAAGCGATGAGTTTTAAGTAGTGTCCTGTTTTCATGTGGTTTGTTAGTTGAAAGTTTGGGTTTGATTGGTAGTGATGGTGGTCTTTGATAGCCGGCTCGCAGAATTCCTGAGACGTGAACATAGCGCTTTCTCCAGGTGCCTTGCACACCTGAGCCAGACGGTACGGCTCAAAACCGGAAACATTTAACAGTCTGGCCAAAACATTTGCCGACCCCTGTCTTAGATTCACATCCTTAAAAAAGAGTCAGACTGCTGGCCGTCAAGTTGACTCGTGGCGACCACGTGTGTGTCAGAGCAGAACCGTGGTCCGTGGGTCTGAAGGCTGTTTCTCAGAAAGGTGTCACCAGGAGTTCCTCCCAAGGCACCATTGAGTGGCCTCGAACCCCCAGCCTCTCAGTTAGCAGCCGAGCACATCAACTGTTCACCGTCCCAGGGAGTCCCTGTGCCTGTGTCTCCCCTGAAATCTCTGTCTGCTCCTTTCTCTGGGCTGTGCTCACCTCTGGCTTTCTAGTTACGCTGCTTGTACACAGAGAGGTGTTTAGTCCACAGCTTTTTCCCTTGTTGTAAAAACGGTACCTGCTGAATTGGTGAAAGGGCAGAAGCATGTGAGGAAGGACCCCCCACCTCCTCGCTATACCAGTTACCTGTGGACACTTATCGGGCGGCTTCTGCTCCTTCCCTGGTACACAAACAGATGTGGCTACGTGGACACGTGCAAGTACACGCACGGTGTGTGTGTATTTAAGCACTAATGTTTGTAAAATTTAGGGGCTGCGCTGTGGAGAATGTCACCACCTGTTGTGTCGTTTGGCAAACATTCTCTTACTGATCCTGCGTAGGTACTGACCAGTGCCTTATTGTCTCTCTGCAGCTTCTCAGAACAACTACCGCATCGACGCCAACCAGGAACTGATGGCCATTGGTAAGGCTCCGCCCGGGTCTCGTGGGTTGCGTGGGCTTCTCTGCGTCTCCCTCACGGGGTACGCAGTGGGATGGTCGAGAGGAGACGCAGGTGGAGTGGTGGCCTGGAGCTGGGTGAATGCCCCCTCACATCCCGGGTGGTTCAGTGCAGATGTTAGGATTGGGGACAGGTGGCCTCAGTTCCGACTGCCACTTATTAAGCACCTGCTGTGTGCAAAGGCCAGGAACGCCTGGGATGGTCCACCCCAGAGAGGGAGCTATGGGGCCCGCAGGCTGGAAGCTGGGAATGTAGCCAGAGAGGCCTCAGGTGAGGCTGGTGGCTGCAAGGGCTTGCGGTGTCTTCTCCGTGCCTGGCCCTCCGGCAGGTGGGTGGGCCAGTGTGGCTGAGGAGGGCCCAGCCCTGGATTTACAGTTTCACTTTCTTTCTTTCTTTTTTTTTTTTTATTGTGATTTGGGTGAAAATTTACAGAGCAAATTCACTTTCCATACAGCAGTTCACATACATTTTGTCTCATGACATTAACCACACTTTCCCACAATGCAACAGCTCCCCTCTCACTTCCTCCTGACAGTCACCACTTCCCTGTGTCCAGCCCTCCATGCACCCCTGCCCCCTGAGCTGTCTCCCTGTGCATAAACAGCCCTTCTTTCTCCCGTGATTGATCTCTCCAAGGAGTGTATCTACCTCAGTAAATGTTCACCTCCTATGCCTGTCTTTTGTTTGGCTGGAAGCCACCAGTGTGGGTTCAATTCCAGACCTGAAGGGCAGCTAGGGGCCATAGTCTCAGGGGTTCCATCAGGCTCTATCAGACAGCAAACCTGGCCCCCTTTTTATTTTCCAAATGATTTTGACTTTGTTCCACATTGTTCTCCCACTCTATCCAGGATCTCCTACATAGATCTCCCTTTGAGTGGTTGGCAGTGGTAGCTGGGCACCATCTAGTTCTTCTGGTCTCATAGTCATATAGGCTGAGGATTGCATGGTGTACCAGTCCCTTGGACTAATTGTTTCCATGAATCTTTGGTTTTCTTCATTCTTCTTTGCTCTGGATGAGGAGAGACCCATCGTTGCATCTAGATGGCAGCTTGCAAGCTTTTAAGATCCCAGTTGCTACTCGGTTTAGCTTTCTTTTAACAGAGCTGGCCTCTAGTGGTCTGTCATGGCCCTGCCGCGTGAGCCCCAGATCCGGTCCTCACTGTGGTTTCTGGGTCCCTCTCTCCAGGCAGCAGCCTGGGTTTTCCATGTGGAGGCCATGGGGCCCCAGGGTGAGCCCGCAGGGACCCTGCCAGTGCCGCCCTCTGAGCCCTGGTGAGTGGGGCGTGGCCTGCCGATGGACGGCTGGGGCCTCCTGAGACTCACCCAGCCCCCACCAGTGAGCCTCCCACAGACGGTCTCTTGGTGTGTCTTGTTCCCATGGCAACGCCAGGGGCAACACAGTTCATGTTCCAAGGCCATGGTGAGCTGTGAGGCACAACCCAGACCAGGTACGGTGCCAGGAAGGGCACAGACCACTGAACAGAGAGAGCGCCTGGCCCCCATCACTGCCAGCGGCCGAGTCTCCAGCAGAGTCATTGACTCATTGTCCATGGGCATGGGACAGACCCAGCAGCTTTCAGGAGCCGCCTGGCAGAGGCCAACTCACCCCTGTGTGTCAGAGCCCCTGGAGTCTGTGGTTCCGGCATTAGGGGAGGGGTGATCAGGTGTGGCCTAGCAGGGGCTGCCCCGGCCCACCCTTGAGGACATGTGGAACGGGGCTGAGGGCCCCACACCATGCTGCGTGCTGCCTCCTGGTGAACCCATGACCCTGTGGGGTGTTGTATGGTCACACCACCACCGCCTCAGTGCAGGGCTCTGGGCAGGGTTCCGACCCACACAGCCCTACATCCTGGTTCGCAGGTCCTGGTGCCAACGAGGCTATAGGCAGGGGTTCACCACACAGGTCACACGATCACGTCACCCTGGCCAGCCGGCCCACGAAAGGTGCTTGACATGAGGGGGTCTGCTGTGTGCCGTGGGCAGGCTGCCCATCCTCGAGTTGCTGGGTCTGTCTGGGCACCCTTGCTCTGATAGTGCCCCTCTCAGGGGCAAGTGTTTCTCGCTTCCTTAAAACGGGAAAGGCATGTATGGGCCACAGACACACAGGAGCCAGAACCCTTACAGAGCTGGAGACGGCCTTGGGGAACTGGTCAAAGAGTGTGGTTTATTCTCCGAGATAGACAGAGATGAAGACTCAGAGAGACACGTGTAGAGAGACAGACAGACAGAAACAGAAGGGGATGGAGACAGCAGCAGCAGCACAGAGAGAGACAGACACCACTCCTCCCCCAGGGTGACCCCCCATACTTCCTCTCACTGGTTCTCTCTCCCCTCATCTCTCCCCTCCCCTTCCGGATCCCCCTCACCTGCCCGCGGCCCAGGCCTCACCAACGTGCTGGGCTCCCTCGTCTCCTCCTACCCAGTCACGGGCAGCTTCGGACGGTGAGTGCCCACAGCCTTGCTGGGAGGCCCATCCACCCTGACCGGGTCCCTCCGTCCACGGAAGGCAGCATGCTGTGACAAGGGAGGAGGTGGCTCTTCATAGCACACGTTTCTGCCCTGCTCAGCACACGGCCCTTACTACTGAAAAGCCCAGGGCTTGGCATGCACGCATGGTCCTGGTGTCAGGGTCCTGTTAGGTCCCCCAGGGGGTGGGGTGGGGAGGATGGGCACTCTGCCCGCAGAGGCCCGCTCAGTTGGTCCCACTAAGACACCCACTCCTGGCTGTGGTGGGTGGATGCCTGTCCGGGATCTGCCGACTGAGTCACTTCCATGTGTTGCCTTCCAGGACGGCTGTGAATGCCCAGTCAGGCGCGTGCACCCCAGCGGGGGGGCTGGTGACAGGTGAGTCCCCGGCATCTTCCTCTGTCCCCTGGCAGTCAGGTGGGTGAAGGGGAAGGTAGGGGCCCCCACTAGAGGTGTGTGCGGCCCACTGCACACTGTGTGTGTGGCTGGACCACCTGGACCCCACAGGTGTGGGGCAGGGGACGGGGCTCATACACATGCTAATGCCCTGCCCGGGTGGGAACCTGCGTGTCCCATGACCCGTCCCTGTCCCCGCCCCCGCAGGCGTGCTGGTGCTGCTGTCACTCAACTACCTGACGTCACTCTTCTACTACATCCCCAAGGCCGCCCTGGCCGCCGTCATCATCACGGCTGTGGCCCCCCTGTTCGACACCAAGATCTTTGGGACGCTTTGGCGTGTCAAGAGTACGTATTTCCCGTGGCGCTGGCGACGCGTGCCCTGCCCATGTCCTGGGGCCTTGGGTGCTGGGGTCTCCTGAACCGGCTGTAACAACGGGGTTGGGCCTTCAACCGAGAGATGTTGACTGGCTCACAGACACAGAAAGAAAGTCCTGGAGCCCGGAAGTCCAAGCTCCCACCAGGGGTGCTGGGGAGTCTCCTCCGGCTTCCAGGGGCTTCCAGCCATGCTTGGTGTCCCCCAGTTTGTAGTCAGAAACATCCCTTTGATCTCTGCCTCCGTGGTCGCCTCCCTGCCTGTCTGTGTCCACGGCCCCTTCCCTATCTCTGGATTTGGGGCCCATCCCAGCCCCATCTGACCTCATGTCAATTTGATTGCCTCTGCAGAGACCCCATTTCCGAGTAAGGTCAGGTTTCCAGGTACCGGGGGTAGGGCTTCAGCGTGTCTTTTCTGGGGATACAGTTCAGCCTCCTCCCTGTAAACGCTGGGCCATCCTTGGTTCCCCACCAGCTTGTCACCCCAGACAAGGTGTGACAGCTCAGTGTAGGACACCGAAGCCAGGGCATGTGCTGAAGCAGTAGGTCGGAGCTGGGGGGCAGAGGGGCGTCCCCAGCTCCCCGCCTCGGCGTGGGACCCTGTCCAGCCCGTGCGTTCCCTCCTCCTCTTCACATTGGCCACCTGTCCTCGGCTGCTTATGCCAGCTTTCTTGTGCAGAGTTGGGGACTCGGGTGACAGCAGGGCCTAGCATAGCCCGTGGGTACAGTTCAGTGGTTCCTGAACTGGCTGTCCCTTCTGGGGCACAGTTCTTGTTTTCTTTTTGTCAGAGTTTAAAGGGTTTATGGAGGGTGTTTGAATTCTTTCCTGTCAGCCCAGCTAGTTATGAGATGAAATAATTAATCATTTCACCTGGCGCTTTTATGTGCCAGGAGCTTCTCATGTGCTGTGGCCTTTAATCTTCAAATCTGCCCTTGAGGGAACAGGACCGTTTGGGTTCACTTACGGCAATCTGAGGCTCAGGACGATGTGGGTCTGGTGAGGTTCAGGGCTGACACCAAAGCCAACACACTTACCATTTAGAACACCCCTCCTGTGGCTCAGAGAAGTGAAGTTCCTTGTCCTGGCGGCCACCGTGGTCCCAGAGGGCCGCATGGCCCCCTGCCCCTCACCTCTCAGGCCTTGGGGTCCTGGGCCGGGCAGCCCTTCACTGCCCCTCGCAGCCCTTCACTGCCCCTCGCCCTCGGCGGACAGGGACTGGCTTTCTGATTTCCACATTCCTACAAGCAGGGGTCACACCCCTGGGCCCCTGTGGCTTTGTCAGAAGCTGCAGCCCCCAGAGTGGGGGTTGGGATCTTCTCTAATCAATAAGTGGGAAGTCAGCGTAGTGTCCTGCCTGCCGGGGTGCTGGGCCGTGGCGGGTGGGTGCTGGGCACCTTGAGGGCTGGCACCTCTGATCGCGCCCCCGTCCCTCCGCCCAGGGCTGGACCTGCTGCCCCTGTGTGTGACCTTCCTGCTGTGTTTCTGGGAGGTGCAGTACGGCATCCTGGCGGGGACCCTGGCTTCCACACTCATCCTCTTGCACTCCGTGGCCAGGCCCAGGACCCAGGTACCTGCCGTCACGTGGGCCATTCGGGGGGCTGGGGACACCTGGGGGAGCAGGGCCCCAGACTCCCTTCATCCTGAAGTCGCCCCCTCGCTGGGAACCGTGGTGCTCTTGCACTGCACCTGGGGCTGGCTGCCTCTTGGCCCTTTGGGCTCTGGTTGAGGAGCGAGCAGACAGGCCCACCCGCCAGTCAGCCTTCCTCCCTGGACTGACTGCCCCACCCCACCCCACCCCAGGTGTCGGAGGGGCCGGTCCTCGTCCTGCAGCCGGCCAGCGGCCTGCACTTCCCAGCCGTCGAGGTTCTCCGGGAGACCATGCTTAGCCGGGCTCTGGAAGGTACGGGGGCGGGGTGGGCTCTCCCGGGCTCCCTGCACCCCCACGCCCCGCCCACTCTCCTTCGGGACCCCGCCCACTCTCCTTCGGGACCTGACCCTCGGTGGCAGGGAGATGCTCCTGACTGTGGCCCGTGGGACTTTGCAGCATTCCATGTGGCACGCCCAGGGCCTTGTCCTTGAGGACCGTCCCCTCTGGGGGCATATTGGGGTCCTGGGGAGGAGAGAGACCTGTTCCCCTGCTGTCACCAAACAGCCGGGGACGGCATCCCTCGCCACGCTGACCTGCCAGCTGTCCCCGCAGCCTCGCCCCCGCGCAGCGCGGTCCTGGACTGCACGCACGTCTGCAGCGTCGACTACACCGTGGCGCTGGCACTCGGCGAGCTGCTGGAGGACTTTCGACGGCGGGGCGCGGCGCTGGCCTTCGTGGGCCTGCAGGTGAGGCCGTGGTGGAGCTGTCAGGAAGCCCCTGGCGATTGGAGGGAGCTCGGGTGGCGTAGTGCCTAAGGCACTTGACTGCTAACCGGAAGGCTGGCGGTTCAAACCCACCAGCAACTCCTCGGAAGGAAGGTTGGGCAATCTACTTCCATAGTGATACTGCCTCAGAAACCCAATGAGGGGTGGTTATGAGTTGAGTCCGACTCAAGGGCACATAACAACAACCACCACAACAGGCTTCTAAGGGGGGCTGGGACTGTCCAGAGGGTCTCGCGGTAGCTCTCTGTCCCTGTGTGGGCTGCCTCCCTCTGTATGTTGCAGAGTGGGACCCTGTGAGGGGCCGCAGGGTGGTAGCTCTCTGTCCCTGTGAGGGGCTGCTTCCCTCTGTGTATTGCAGAGTGGGACCCTGTGAGGGGCCACAGGGTGGTCTGGGCCTGGACACTCACAGTTGTCATTTGCTGCATGAGGGACTACACGGGGCCCCGGTCTCACAGACAGGCCTTTTAGGAAGTGTAGGCAGACCCAGATGTGCAAAACTGTGCTGCAGGGGCGTCCAGAAGCCTGGGGGAAGAAGGGTCGGGGTGACGGACAGCGTAACCAGGAGATTCTTAAACTCCATGTTCTTGGCTCCCACGAGCCTTGGGTGTGGTCTGAACAGCAGGGTCGTGACTCTGGACATTACAGCATTGGTAGTAATGGTGCACCTTGACAAGGGGTAGGGGCCCAGTATGGGCTTGAGGCCCCCTGCCACGGCCCAGGCACATAGCCTGCGGCCAGCGTTGACAGAGTCATGGGGTTTATCGTGAAGTGGGTCCTCCCAGCCACATGCCAGGCAGGGCCACACAGGGACATAGGTGTGGCCACAGTCTCTTGGAGAACGCTTCTGCAGCCAGCCCTGAAACCAGACACTGAGCTGGCAGGGGTCCAGGGGCTTCCCTGCAGCTGATGCTCGTCACGGGTTCACACAGGGCTCGCGCGGCCCCGCGGGGTTGGCAGCCACGTCCTCCAGAGACGGTGAGGATGCTGAGACCAGAGTGAGGGGAGGACCAGCTGTAGGCTCAGGAAGGCCACTCCAGTGCTGGGCTGCTAGCCGTCCCGCCGTGCCGTGTTTCAGAGCTCGGTGGCTTCATGCTGTGTCCTCTGCAGATGCTCGTTGAAACCGCTCCCTTCCCGGGACTTGTGTGCGGTTCAGGGGCGGGCCTCACCTCCACGGGCACCCGGGTGGATGAATGGTCCCTCCCCAGGACACGCCAAGACGTGGCGTGTGATATGGGGACAACTGGGTCCTTCATCAGGGCACTAGACACAGTGGGACGGGGACATGACCTTCCTCAGAATGGGTTGATGTGTGTGACACGGGGACGGGTGTGCCCCTCACTAGCACACACTGAGACACTGTGTGATGGGATGTGACTGTCACCAGGATGCACTGAGACCCAGTATATGACATGGGGACATGCCCTTCACCAGGGTGCACTGAGACAGTGTGTGACGTGGGGATGTGTCCATCACCAGAACGCACTGAGACATGGTGTGTGACATGGGGACATGCCCCTCACTAGGATGCACTGAGACACGGTGTGTGATGTGGGGACAGACGTGCCCTTCACCAGGACACACTGAGACACAGCATATGACATGGTGGGGGGTACCCCACCCATGTGGGCTTGGTGGTGGAGCTGTGGGGCTGACCCAAGCCTCCTGCCCTCACGTGTGAGCACAGAGTGACCCCGCCCTCATTAACCTGGTCTGCCCTTCAGGTCCCTGTGCTGCGTGTCCTGCTGTCTGCAGACCTGAAGGGGTTCCAGTATTTCTCTACCCTTGAAGAAGCAGGTTGGTGCCATCGGAACCGGGCCCCAGTGAGCCCACAGCGGGCGGGAGGGGCAGGAAGAGCTGAGGCTCCATCAGAGGAGGCCGGGGCTGGAGTCCTGAGTGTGTGCCAGTCACCTCTGGTCAGAGCTGGGCCGTGGCTGCCCTTCCGTCCCCGAGGGACAGGCCACAGGTGCAGGATGCACCGTTGGAGGCCTCATTGCCTCCGAGAGCCTTGTGTGCTATGTGCCCTGGCGCCCCACCCTCACCTGCAGGGAGAGAGGAAGGGAAGAGCCGAGGGCTGCGAGGCAGCAGGCCCATTACGCGGGCCTCTCCTGATCTGGGGACTTCTGAGCCGTGTGTGCTAACTCAGGCAGAATTTGCACACCATCGGTACAACCGAAGTTTTGACACACGGATGTTCCATGTATCTACCAGCCAAATGTGGGCTCTCTCCACACTCCAGAAAGTTCCCTCCTGCCCTCCCCCAGCTGGTCCTCCCACCACTGGGGTGACCACTGCTCTGGTCTCTACCACGTGGGTTAGTTTGGTCTGTTCTAGAAGCTCACAGGAATGGCATCATGGAGTCGTTCAGTGTCTGCTCCTTGAGTTCAGTTTGACAGCTGTGAGCCAACCAGTGATAGGATGGATGGCTGTCTGGCGTGGTCACCCTGTGGGGTGGGTGGGCCATCTGGTGTGGTCACCCTGTGGAATACCTCTCAGCAATGAGAAGGGGGTACCAGTGACATAGGGAGAATGATGAGCTCAGAGATAGTTGAGCAGAGAGCTTGGGTGCCCTCTGGTGCCCTGCTTGCGGATGCCGAGGTGCCGGCCTTGGCCCCTGTCCTGTGGGCTGGTCCGCCCTGCCTTCTGCTGCTCCAGTGCTTAGACAGCCTCTCGTGTCTCTCCCAGAGCAGTACCTGAGGCAAGAACCGGGGACCCAGCCCTATAACATCAGTGATGACCCTGTTCCAGAGCACAAGGTCGCCCTGTTGAAGGCGTAGCTGGGCCCTGCTTGGCGCCCAGCATCCAAGGAGCCTTCTGGAAGGTTCTTGTTGCTGTGATGTTGATGCCTGATGCTGTTTCTTCACACGCCGGCCTGAGGGAGCTGAGGAGAGCAGAGGCAGTGACCAGGAGGGCCTCAGCTGGGAACCTCAGCCTCGTCTGGGATGAGTGGACTGTTCCCTTCCTGCCGCCCCGGGCCCTCCCCTCTGTCCAGTCGTGGCCTGAAGGGCACCTTCTAGCATGGTGTGAGAGAGCAATGGGGCAGGCATTTCCAGGCTGGCTGAGGAGGGGTGTCCTCGGGCCATCCCACCTTTCCAGGTCCTGAGGTTTCAGTCAGGCAGGGAGGAGCGTGTGCTGAGGGTCATGGGCGTCTGGGACGTGGTGTCTGGTCTTGATGGCGGCGTCTGTGTTATTGTTGGGGAGAAAACCAAGGTGTGCCAAATGACTTCAAGTCTATTTTAAAATAACTTTGTGTTTTGTGTTTTTAAAGTAATGACTTTGGTGGTTTTGTAAGAGTCATAAACACTTCCTGTGAAAATTACAGGACCCCCCCAGTCTCTTTTGGTGATCATTCCACACCCCTGCCCGCTCAACGTAGATGCACGTGGACGTTAGCATGTGGACCAGTTTACAGTCTCACATCCACGGGCTCATCCTACACATGGCTCACGGTGCTGTGTAACCATCCCCCACAGTCATTGCTGTGAATATTTATTGTGATAATAAATAGAGATTCTGTGCATTGTGGCGTCTGCCTGGCCTTTTGTGGTGTGTTTGCGTCATGACTGACTTCGCCTCTACAGGTTAAACGTGTAGTGCCTGCCCTTCTTTGTTTCCCGTCTCATGGTCACCAGGGGTGGTTCCTGGAGGGTGGAGCGGTCACGGAGTGTGTGGTCTGCACCTTAAGGAGGAGCTTGTTATGCAGAAGGCCTTGGTCAGGTGGCCTCCAGCCACGGTGCCTTCCTGACCCACCAGTGTCCCCACGAGGCCATGTCCCTCCCGGTCATTGCTATCCACTTCCTGAGCACAGCAGGGACACTGAAACCAAAACTAACACCTCAGGCTCGCCATGACCCCTCGCCGTGACCCCTCACCGTGACTCTGTGTGTCAGCCCAGGCCTGGGCTCCCCGAGGTTTTCAGGTGGTGGATTTTTGGAAGCAGATGTCCTTTGGGCTTCCTCTGGCAGGCAATCTTTGTAGCCCCGTTACAGCCTCACATCCACACGTACCTTCTAGATTCCTTTCCTGCCTGCCCCTGAACAACAGTGCAGCCAGCCCCCACTGCCTGCTGCTCTGTGCTTTCTGTCGGGTGTCAGAATTCCGTTCCTCACTGCAGCTGGAGAACATCTGTGGTGTGGAGATTCCGCATTTTGTTTATCCATCCGTCTCTGGATGGACACTTGGGTTGTTCCCACTTTCTGGCCATTACAAATGGGGCTGCTCAAACATTTATGTTCCTTTGTTTGTGTGGATGTTTGTTTTTGTTCTTGGGTCCACACCTAGGAGAGAAATTGCTGGGTCACACGCTAACTCTGTGTTTAATTGTTTTTCATGATGGCAGCACCGTCTTACGTTGCCATAGTGGTACTGAGGTTCCAGTTTCTCCATGTCCTCACCAACACGCTTGTTATCTGACTTTGTGATGGCAGCCATCCTCGTGAGTGTGAGCAGTGGCTCATCGTGTTGGTGATGTGCATTTCCCTGATGACCTCGAATGTGTCCTGTGTTTTCTTACTTTGGGCTGTTTCTGCAAAGTGGAATGTCCCCCACTGCCCAGCAGGCCATCCCTGACCAGGGCTGTAAAGGAGCGGCAGTCTGCTTTTGACTGTATGCACACACCGAGCCCATCAATTCTTGAGCCAAGATGTCATCCTGTTCACAGAGCTGGTGGAGAGTAAGTCGATGCCTCTGGTGGGCGTTGTTGGTGGTAGTTGCCGTGGAGTTAATTCTGACTCAGCAGCTCAGGTGAGGATAGATGGGGATTGGGCATTATGAATTGAAGCTTTGCAACACTCACCCAGTACTGTCACAGTTGGAAGGAGTGGAGCTATAACTACTACAGATATTTTAGTGAAAAAACAAGTGGCAGAATGATACCCATCTTAAGATACCCTGTATGTAAACTCAAATACTAAACGATTCTATGATGTCTGTTCAAGTTTGAAAAAAAGTTCTAGAAGGATCCACATGAGACTCATATGCATGAGATGGTAAGCATGTTACTTCTTGAGAGCAGTGCATTTTAAGCATGTCTGTTACGATTTGATTTTTCAGATACCACCACCAGTTGGCATCGAGTTGGCCCGACTCATGGCAACCCATGCGTGTCGGAGTACAGCTGCTCCATGGGGCTTTCAGTGGCCAACTGTTCAGAAGCAGCTTAATAGGCCTCTCTTCTAAGCTTCCTCTGTGGGTCTTGAACCTCCAACCATGTGGTTAGCAGCCAAATTGAGTAAACTATTTATACTACCCAGGAATACATTCCTAATTACCTTGTAATTATAAATTCATTTTTTAAAAAGAAAGATGTGGATAACTGCCCTGAAAGAGTGTGGATTTTGGTGTCAGGAGATGCAGGGTTGGGTTTTAAGAAAGAGTATTCCAAACTTAAGACACTTGACAGGACTGAGGCTCCGTAAGCTGTAGGCTAAATTCCTTTTTCTTCCTCTGAGATTTCTACTTCTTCTGTGACTGTATGGGAAATTTCACCAAATACTGTTTAAATTAGAATTAGGTAATGCTGAGAAGTGTGGTTCTGTCAGGCTCCCAGTATGCACAGGTGTTCACCTTGTGACTTTAGTGGTTAAGCCAATTCTCAGAAAATGTCTCCTTTGCTCCCCTCAAAAATTGTCTTTTTTGACCCCCTTTTTATACTTTGAACTTTTCCATACCTTATTCAGCCTAAACCCAAGGGAGACCTACACCCATTAAGACTTATGGTCAGTCAACTACCAACTCTGTCAACATCCACCAATCATAAGCGTTTTAGCTGTTTCCTTCTGCTTGTCTTTATAAGCCTTTGTAAGTGAACAGCTCCCAAGAGCACTTTGTCAAGAGCTTCTTGACTCTGCCCATTTTTCAAAATGCTCTTTCACTGTAATAAACTGTCTTTATTTTTAAACAGACTTATAATTCTTTCTCTACAGCAATTTTGGTGTCAGAAGTGGGATCCATAGGCCACTTCCTCTGACAGCTGCCAGAAAGCCAGACATTGGACTCTGGACCCAGCTAAGTCAGATGGACTCTCATTTTTCTATGGACCTTTGAGAGCTGCCTGGGTGAATACCTCTTGGATCTCTAAAACTCTGCCTTGGTGCATCTGGAGTTCGACCAGCTTTTATTACTGGCTTATTTTCATTATCGTTAACTTACTTTCATCCTAATTCAGTCTGGATTTGTTTTCCTTTTTCACACTGTTTTGAGTTCTATCAGAAGTGATTCTGCTTCTTGAGTTTTGGGATATCATACCAAGTAACTCTACTTTACACAGAAATCAGTGCCCCTTGGGGCCCTTTTTTTGTGAGACTTGAGCTCCCTGTACTGGGGCACCATTGAAGAAAACTGTCCTTAATTTTTTTCTGCTTGCAAGTTTGGGTTAAAACCTTCCTCTTGCAAGCTCAGGTTAAAATTTTAGACTCTAGTAATATCTGTGTCAGAGCACGGACCAGTAACTAGAAATTTGTTTCCAGGGTGCCATGAGCTCATAGAAACAGGCAGTGACCTCCAGGATTACAGCAAAGGAGCTTATTAGGGAGAATGGCGTACGAGGTAGGTTGCAGGCAACAGCAGGACCAGTTTCACTTATCTGTGCCCCCCCCATGAGAGGCAGGTTTTGTGTTAGTTTTTTTTTTTTTTTTCATTGTGATTTGGGTGAAAGTTTACAGAGCAAGTTCACTTTCCATACAGCAGTTTGCCCACACATTGTCTCATGACATTGACTACAATTTACCCCAACACAACAGTTCCCCTCCCACTTCCTCCCCATAGTTACCTCTTCCTTGTGTCTATTGAGGCAGGGGTTATGTCTATAGTAAACAAAGGTACCTACATGCCAGGAGTTTGGGCTGCCAAGGCCACCTCATCAAAAGTTATGTAAGAGTGTTTCAGTAAGTGGAAGTGAGCTAGTGGGAAGCAAAAGCTGAATGTATTCAGCCTCACAAAGCCTATTTGCCCTTCAGTTCACCCCTCAAGGCTGGCTCTTACAATCTGGTATATTCCCCTCTTGTGCAAAGCCTCTGAGGGCCCCGAGGGGAGGTGTTACAACTACGTAGGGAGGGACAGGCAGCATTGCTATAGCTGGAGACACAGATCACAGCAGCGATGTAGACACAGAGCGGAACAAACCTGTGCCTGGGAGAAGACCAAGACCCAGCAAAATCCTCGCCAGCCACAGGAGAGGGAGGCTGTAACCGTTTGGCTCTGTCATCTGTTGCTGGGGGGTGCAAGAGCCCAGCCCACTATTCAGGAGGGAGACTTAAAGAAGACAAGGGCACCCAAGGATTCTGCTCGGCTCCAGACAAACAGAGGCAGTTTCCCCAGCACACCCTGTTCAGGGACCAATCAACTTAAACTTTCCCAGAGGGGTAAACACCTCTGAATGTGGCTCCCACTGGGGCTTACCCTGCATGCTGGACAAGGAGCCCAGAAATGACACGAGAACTATCTCCACCAAGAATGCACATGGCCTTGGCAGTGGAACCCTGCCACAGCTGGGAAGTGTCGCAGTCTCTTACCAAGATGTGGATTTCTGCGATGGTCTGAGTCCAGGAAAAGGTGAAGTTGTGCCACCTCCATTCTGTTACGGCCCACTCAGTCCCAGGGGCATGAGCACCCCTGCACATGTCCCCCACAGCTATCCGGTTGGTTCTGGCCAGAGGCTTCATGTCTCAAGGCGTGCTTAGTGCTTAAGAAGGGGATGCCTTCACAGACCCAGAAACAGCTTTTGCGGTGGGCTCCAGCAAAGCTGGGACTCTAGGAAGACACTGGCAGCCCCGGAGGG